AATTTACAATAAAAGTTTCAATTTCCTTTCCCAGTTTAGATGCGAACAATCGCGAACAATCGTTCTCTTTTCAAATCCAATGCTAATCCGCCTATTTTGATGATATTCTAAAGTTTTTGACGTAAAATGACTATTTTTAAATGTTTTTTGTCTCATTTTCAATTCTATTTCTTTCTCTAAAATGATAATCGGTGATTCTGAAGAGAAAAGTCATTTATTCTAAGTTTCAAAAAAAAAATAGATGAGAAATGGAGGAGATGCAGGGAAAAGGAACTTGGGAACTTTGAACTGTAATGGGAATGAACTTTGGAAAGAACTGTAATGGGAATGAAGTGGAATGAACTTTGGAATGAACTCTGGAATGAACTTTGGAATGAACTTTGGAATAAACTTTGTAATGAACTCTGGAATAAACTTTGGAATGAACTTTGGAATGAACACATTCAGAAATCTAGCTTTAATAGTTTAAAGCTAGATTTCTGAATGTGTTAAATAGAAAATATTTAAAGAAATTAAGAAAGAAAAAGAAAAAGAAATTAAAGAAATGACAATGTTAAAGTGACAAAATCTTATATTGAAAATTCTTGTTCTCATTCGCTGAATTATCGTCTTGAAAAATCTTTGAGCTTTGCTTTGCTTTGATTTGCTTTGCTAGTTTCTTGAGGACTTTGTGCATGCTAAACAAATAGTTTACAAGTCCAATAGGTACAGTAAAACAAGGACAATAAGAAATAAAGTCGACCAAGGGTAGTGAGTACAGTAAAATGAGTACAATGGCTTTTCCAAACAGTAAAGAAACACCTTACAAGCTCAGTTATCAACTTTGATACTATTAAAGCTAGATTTCTGAATTTAAAGAGTTTAAGTAAATCTGGAAGAAATGAGGAAGAACTCATAATTTCAAAATGAAACAAAATCCAAACACCCAACTAAATTCTGTTTTCGGTTTTTGTCTAAAACTCTTCTCGTCACTAATTGCTGGAAAAACTGGAGAATGGCTTGGGTTAAGGAAAAGAGAAACATCCGGATAACCGCTTTCCTTCGAATCTCTGATTTCACACGAGTCCCAATGAACTCCCAGCAATCCTCACGTGTTTTCGTTGTTTTTGTGATCGACGTCACTGTTAGAGTCTTATATTTATTGTCTTAAACATAAACAAAACTGACTAGTTGAGATTTGGTTGCAACAAAGTTTTCTTTTTTCGATAAGCTGTTTTAAGCACTCTTATCCGACTCCAAGCTCAATCATTGGCTTGTATTAGGTTGGTGAATTGAAAACTGCGGGACTTTGAACTAAAATTTATTGAATCAATGAACGAGGATCGAAAAAGGAAGGAATGGTCAAGGTTTTCAATGAATAATCAAATTATTGTTAACAATTAATATCAAAACAATAGTTAATACCATCTAATAGACATTCATAAACTATTAGGTTGGTGAATTGAAAACTGCGGGACTTTGAACTAAAATTTACTCAAAATAAAACCATAAATTCATTCGAAATAATTACCATTATTATTGACGACTTCTGCGCATTTTACAGGCAATTTGCGGATTCCTCTTTCTGCGTAGGATTTTGGTTTGTGTGTGAGACAAGTGTGAGACTCAAAAATGGAGGACTGGAGATGTTCATGTTTCTAGCCGTATTCTCAAATCAATTGTTCATCCTAACCTAAACTCTTACCGCAAATGCTTGACGACTTATATCCGGCCCATCTTAGAATATGCTTCTATTGTTTGGTCTCCCCGCGCACAAGTCTTTATTGAACGCTTGGAGAAAATTCAGAGGAGGTTCACAAAAGTCGCTTTATGGAAAATTGACTATTCTAAATATTCTAGCTTTACTTATGAGGAGAGACTTGCTTTTTTTGAACTAAAAACTTTACAGCATCGTCGCTTTGTCATTGATTTAGTCGAAACTTTCAAAATCCTCCGTTGTAAACAGATTAGCCCTTTGTTTATAGACTTTTTCAAATTTAAACCGCGGTCAGGGCCCAGAAGTGGCTCATTCCTTTTGCAAATTCCCTTTGCTTCCAATGCCTCTTTATCAAATTCATTTCCCGTTAGAGCCGCTAGATTATGGAACTTGCTCCCAAACGACATACGAGAAATTCAGTCGCTTTTCATATTCAAGAAACGTATCGATGCTTTAGATCTAGTGGCTCTTTGCCGTAAGTAATTGGCTTATTGATTTCAGTATGTATTGTATGATTAAGTATCACTGTGCATTTCTCTATGATTTCTTTCACTTTATCGTTTGAATAAAGTATTATTATTATTATATGTGACAGTTTGAGCACTTTCTTCAAAAGAAACCCATTTTGGTGTGAATAGAAAAGTTGTAGAGAATCAAAAATTAGGCTTATAGCCAAATTTCCAAAAAGATACACTTAGTAGTTTCGCTTAAAATGCAAGTTTTGTGAAAATTCGTAAATTTGGCATTTCTTGAAGAGCAGTTTTTGAATTGTTCTGAAAATTTGGATATAAGCTTGATTTTTGATTCTCTACAACTTTTCCATTGACACCAAAATGGGTTTCTTTTGAAGAAAGTGCTCAAACCGTCACATATAACAATAGCCGGCAGTTTTCAATTCACCAACCCAATATAAAGTTCAGCAAAAGGCTTAGAACAAACCAAGTATAGTAAACTGTTCAAAAATTGGATTTTGAACGGAGTAAAGGAATTCGACTACAGTAAACTACAACAAGCTGGCTACAGTAAGCCGATTACAGTAATCCATGTGCGGCAAGTCAGTACGCAAGCCAAGTAGGATAGAAATGGTGGAAAATATTAATAACAATACTAGTAATATACACAAGAATGTTAAAGTTAAGTACCAAATCTAAAACTTTAAAGAACTTTTGTAACTTTGTAGCGTCTAGAAGAAAAGTCAAGATTTCTTCTTATCCTTTTCCTCTTGTGTACTACGTGAAATCAAATCAAATGGCTGACTCTATAGACAAAAAGAGCTAAAGAGAGCTAAAGAGAGCTAAAGATATTCCTAAAATAAGAATGGCATTCAGCCAAATTCGTTTTTCTTTTCCCCAAATGAGTGACAAGATGAAAAGAGAGAAAAAGCCGAGAATTTCGCGGGTTTTCTTAAAGATCTCACGTCTTCGAACCCAAAAAGCTTCATTTCAAAACAGGAAATGAAATAGAAAACTATTTCTTCTAACTAATCTAGTTTATGTAAATTCTAGGGCTAAGTTGAAAGATATGATAAAAAGAATTTAAAGTCAGATATTTATTATAGAGAACGATAAAAGAATCACCTAATTGTAAGACTACCCAAAGTGACCGTTTTGGTATAAAATGCGACAAAATGGCCATCACCAATCAATTCCTCGACCCCGAAATTCTCTGGGTACAAATTTTTGGCTTTATATCTCATCTGGGCGTCAGTTTCCAAAGCAAAAGATTTCCCTATGTAAAAAGTGTTCTTTGTGAGGTTGCATAATCGCTCGCGACTTGGCAAACGCCTCTAGAATAAGATGCTTTCCTTTTGGAATTCATAAAGGACCGGTGGTGCTCTTTGGGCGTCATTATGCTCAATTTTCTGGGACAATTCTTGCCTTAAATTTGGCCGATTTTTGCTTCAAATTCTAGCTTCGATTGAACCAATTGTCACTTAAAACAAGAGTTTTAACAAGTTAAAGTAAACGAGGCAAAATTGATTTTACTATAGTGAGATTGATGCAGAGAATCAGAAAATATAGACGAAAACACTTGACAGCAATTTGGTTTAGAAAACTGCTTTCTATGGGAGCTCTTCAGAAGGGAAGGGAATCGATGTGTCTGGCCTTGCAAGGCCTTGCTCTCTTTTCCCCTTTTTCCTATGAAGGTCCCCATTTCCCCCCAATCTCCACGTGTTTTTGCTCATTCTTTTCAAATTGTGTTCCCCTTTTGAATGGAAAATTCTCTCCCTTTTCCCCTCAATAATAATATTTGATTTTCATCTAGTTTCCGTGATTCAATTTTGGTCAAAATGCTTTAAACATATGTGAATGAAAGTTGAAAGAAGATTTAGCATTAAAATAGTAAAACTTTGAAATGTTAACAACTAAATGCTGGTAAATTTAATGCAATATCAAGTGATTCTTAAAATTTCATTGTAACTAATTTATACATCTGCGCACAAGCCTTCTGCGCACAAGCCTTCTGCGCACAAGCCTTCTGCGCACAAGCCTTCTGCGCACAAGCCTTCTGCGCACAAGCCTTCTGCGCACAAGCCTTCTGCGCCCAAGCCATTTGCGCACAAGCCATTTGCGCACAAGCCATTTGCGCACAAGCCATTTGCGCACAAGCCATTTGCGCACAAGCCATTTGCGCACAAGCCATTTGCGCACAAGCCATTTGCGCAACGATGAAAGCCAATTTAAATACAAGTTAAAACGCACTAAACTGAAAGTCAGACGAAACTGAAGCATACTGTGGCTCAAGCCTATTTAACTTCGAATTTTCTTGTCTCTATGAGGATTTTCGTCCCCATTTCACCAACAAGTTCTCCAAAGTTCATAAATATTGTTGTTTGGTGATTCATTGTCTGACTCACTTTAGATAAATATCGTAATACTCTAACACCACCCCTATATGACTGGCGTACAACCGCGTACAACCGTGCATGCTACAGTGTGCGCTTCCGTGTCAAATGATAGTCCTTGAAATCTAGTATCTTTAGGTACCAAAAGGGTAGTTCGGAAAAATCTAGGAGCTGAGAAAAAATGTGTTTTTCTGTTTCTTTTCTTTTTCTAAAAAGAAGTTAAACTACGCAAGGAGGTGACGTTTTATTAGAGTATATACGGTCGTAAATTAAATTCACCAGAAAGCATACAAAATCGAGCCAGGAGAGCTGAAAGGAAAGAATAAAAGGCAAGCGGCAAAGAGCCAAAGAGCAAAGAGCTTAAACGTCTCTTATTTTGTATACTTGAATCGTCACTTGAATAAAGTTTGGATATGTGCAAAGCTTTATTGAGATGACTAGAAAATCGTTGAGAAATTAGAGCAGATCATCGACGGTGACTGGACGAGCGGGTTGTTGTTGAGGATTTGTGTTTGGCGGGAGGTGAGATTGGGAATTGTCACTGATCACAGATGGAGCCATTGAATAAACGGTCGAATGGTTTTCCGAGTCGACATTCCCGTACACCGAATCGTTGGCGTTGGAAGCGGGTGAGGTGACCATGACGGGAGTTTCTTCATAAGGTGGCAGGCTGTTGGTTCTAGAATTTGGATTCAATTGTTAAATCTTTGAATAGATTTGCAAGGGCTACTACGGTTCACAAAGTGAAATACTTTTAGTTCAAATAAAGCATTTGAAAGATTATCTATTGGGTAATTTGTTTGGTATATTGTACTGGTCGGTAACTACAATATCTCAAAATTTCGCACCTTGCTTCCCGTTGCTCAGTCACCGACAAATTGTTGACGTCCACTAAAAGTTTACACTTTGAACTTGTTAATAGCTTGTTACCGCATTTTCTCTAATAGTAGTGCACCCCGATGAGCCGAGTTACTATTTTACGGTTTCCAAGCTTTCGCGGAAGCTTTTGCAGAAGTTTTTGCAGATTTTGCAGATTTTGTTTATCAAAGGTATTGCTTAAAACTCTCCTAAAGCCAAATTGATCATGAGCTGCTTAGAAATGAACCAAAGCTTCATTGTTTGTGAGAAAAAAAGAGCGGGTAATTTGCTTAATTATCCGTTGTATCCGACGCAACCAAAAATTTTCTCCGTTCCTTTACTCTTTTGTTTCAAATGTATTCTCTCAAAATCTCCTTATTCTCTCTAATAGTAGTGCACCGAGTCGAGCCGAGTTGATGACTATTTTACGGATTCCAAGCTTTTGCAGAAGCTCAACACTTAAATCTCCCACAAGATCTCATCGTCAGCTACATTCTCCAACCCCACATCGATAGGTTCTGATAAGCGGTTCTCGAGATTTCGAGCACTTTAGACGACGCTTAGGGTGCACTACTATTAAAGAAAATACGGTAATAAGTTTCTTATTGCAATAACTTACAAGTTTGAGCTTTTTCTGTGTAGAGGGGTGGAGCATTTTGTGGTCGAGAAGGATTCTCGGGGATTACATCAGCTCGCGGCATTCCTTCATTGAAATAAGAGACGCGCGGGGCAAGGGATCGTTGACTAAAAAAAAAGAAAAATATTGTTATAGATTGTCTTGTTAAAATATTGTTTTTAAAAAGAGATTCTCACCGCAATTTCTCGGCTCTCAAGAAGAGAATGTAGCGAAGAACAATGTTCCAAGTTAAAACAAAAGATACCAAAACAGCGGTCTGACTGACCACGACAAGAATTGCATAGTGGCGAAACTCTGAAGAATTTTTGTAAAGATCAAGAAAAGGAGAGGAAGATTGTGATCAAATTTCTTTAATAGATAACTTTCTCGAATGCTTACCTGTTCTACACTCAAGGCATGTGAGATTGTATGAGGAATAAGTCCCGGCGTAATCATTAAAATCACTTTTCGATCCCCAATAATAGTTTGAACACGATGGATCTTTGTTCTTGTTGGTCACTTGAGGATAGAAGCAGCCAGACTAAAGTAAATCCTGTATTGTATAATTTTAGTTGCATTCTTGACTGTAAGTCTCTTTTGCTATTTGTTTAAACAATTCTAATATCAACTTACAACTCCTTCGTCATCACTCAATCCACGGGCATAGTTGAACGTCTCACCCAACACATAGGCCGCACAAACAATCTGCAAAAGTTTATTTGGAATGATTCTTTCTTTCTTTTTCTTTCTTTAGTTCTTTCTTTCTTTAGATCCTTCTTTCTTTAGATTCTTTCTTTTTTTAGATTCTTTCTTTCTTTCTCCCTTTCTTTCTTTTCCTTTCTTTCTTTAGATTCTTTCTTTCTTTCTCTCTTTCTTTCTTTCTTCCTTTCTTTCTTTAGATTCTTTCTTTCTTTCTCTCTTTCTTTCTTTCTTCCTTTCTTTCTTTAGATTCTTTCTTTCTTTCCCCTTCTTCTTCCTTCTTTTTTAGATTCTTTCTTTCTTTTTTCTGCCTTCTTTTTAGAATCCTTAAGAGCTTATTGAAACCCATAATATAAATTTTTCAAATCAAACAAACCTGACAAACAAGATAAGGAATCATAAAGCTCATCTTCTGCTTTCGAATCCCGTGAAATAAGAGCGCATGGCAACACAGGGAAAAGGTGATTATGCCGAAGAAATAGCCAGTGTCCTAAAGTTTCTATTCAAAAGTTTAAAGAAATTCAAACGAATTTATAATTAGCTCATTTAGACTTCACCTGGATAATGAGTGCGCTGAGAACTTGAGCGATGAAGGAGAGAAGCGCCGCCACAAACGCTGCCACCTAAAAGCGAAAGGAATTTTTATTTTGAGCATTTTGATCGAATAGCTTTAAGATTTTACGCAATACTGAGCAAAATTGAAACAAAAAAACAAAAAACAAAAGAACAAAATAAACAAAATTCAAAACTCATTTACCTGTTTGTTAGCCGTTCTCAAGCAACACTCCATTTTGTCTGTTCTGTTGATTTATTCGATTCCTAGAGATTCATCAACTGTAGAATAAACTAAAATTTGATGCTGTAAGCTTATAGAATCAAACCAATCAGACTCAAAGAATGAGACCAATTTTAAAAGTAAATTTTAAGGTACAGAAAAAATAAAGGAAACTAAAATCAAAGGAAATAGAAAGAGCTTCAAGAAACGAGTCAAAAAGTCTTTGAAAAAGTTAATAACGATTTGAAATCAGCGTTTAAAACTCTATCAGGCACACCGGCTTTTGAAAATTTTAATCTAATTGGCACCAATCTATAAAACTAATTCTTGAAAATATTAATTACCAAAAGAAAAAATATTCAAAATCGTTCAAAAGAGGCCTCATTTTGCCTCTTCAATTAATCTGCTTTCGATTAGATTTCATAAAATCAAAAATTGATTCCAAAGCGAAGAATTAAGAATAAAAACCCTAACCAAGGCAATAAAAATGTGACTAAAAAAGTTAAAGAAAAGGAGAAAAGATCGTTGCGACCAAAAACGATCAAAGAGAAGGCGATATAAAATCGATTTCCATATCAGGAAAGGGAAAAGTGTAAGCTCTTTACTTTTCTTTTTCTTTTAGCTTTTCTTTTTTCTACTTCAGATCACTCCCATCAGCTGGCCGCATTGTTCTGCGAGATAAGGCGACTTTACGGCCGCTCCTCTATACCCAGCTTCAACCCGGTACTCGGGAATTAACTTCGATAGTTTGAAAAGGGCAGAATTGCTGACGATGGCAGAATTGCTTTGACAATAGATAAAAAAACAATTGATCATAAAGCTAAAAAAAAGATTGAGTAATGAATGAATGAATAAGAAAGCGATTAAGGTTTTCTAAGGATACTCAAAGAAATCTCTTGAAGCTTGCCAATTGACGATTGTTCCAGGCAATTTCTATAGATCAAACGAATCAAGATTTTTCTTGGCTTTGCTTTTGACATTGCCTGATCCGCTTTACCACTTCTATAGCTTGATTTCAAGCTATCAGTTCTATAGCTTGATTTTTTTGTTCATTATTGTGATAAACTTTTCTGCACTTACAGCATCTTCCATATAAAAGCATTCCATCTTTGTATTGACACTGAGCCACATTTTTATCGCTTTTTCTTTTCTCGCAATACGTGTTCGGGCATCTTGATGAGCATTCTTCATCAGATTCACAGCCATATTCACCCGGCCAAAGTTTGCTAAGAAAAAAAAAGAAGATACATATATTGAAAACAATTCAAAAGCTATATGAAGTACTCACGATTTACACTTTCCCTCAATACACTTCTCATTGGGGAGACAAGTGTTATCACCATAGACAAGTGTTATCACCATTGTGATAAACTTTTCTGCATTTACAGCATCTTCCATATAAAAAGCATTCCATCTTTACATTGACATTGAGCCATATTTTTATCGCTTTTTCTTTCCTCGCAGTACGTTTTCGAAAACCTTCTAACCCATCAGATCTAACAAAATCTTAAAAATCTTCTCTTTTATTCCGATTTCCGATTCCGATACTGCATCTAGGTTTAGGATTTCGAAACGCTTGGCCTAAAAGTCTCATTTCTCAGCAAAAAAATCAGATTCTGACTCAGAATTCGGAAAAAAAAGCCGGGTCGCGGGTCGGGTCAGCGGGTCCGTTTTGATCCGACCCGATCCGACCCGACCCGATCCGACCCGACCCGATCCGACCCGACCCGACCCGTCCGCCCGTCCGACCCGACCCGACCCGACCCGACCCGACCCGATCCGACCCGCTGCCCAGAGCTATTTCTGAGTAAACAATGACTGAGCTTTATTGTCAAAGCTAGCAATTTGAAGTAAATTTTAAGCTCTTATCGATTAGCTTTTTTATTTAACCTTTGTAAATGCACGCAATACTGACTCCGAAAAAAAAACTGTCAAAGTTTTACGAAATTTCAACGAACAAGACTTACAAAAATGAACCAAAAATGAAGAAATGAATCAAAAGTTGCTTTAAAGTGTAATTTAACACAAAACTCAGCCCAAAACTCGCAACTTTTCACAATCAGAAACGAAATTCGTCATCAAAATCCGCTTTTGATTCTGATTTCAGCTTTTTGAACACAAAACAGAAAATATTAAGTCAGAAAAAGGATGTTTAAAGACGAAAAATTCGAAATGTTTTATTTGAGTTGAAAGAAACGAGAACTGATAAGAAAAAAGCCGTATAATAAAGAATTTTCAGGCAAAAGGGTCAAAAAAAAAACGAGCAACCCCATCTTATAATATCGGAGTTTTTAAAAATATTGAAAATTTCAAGAAAATGACAAAGAAAATGACAAATGACAAATGACATCCTAGGATGGGGGCATCCTAGTCCTAGGATGTCATTTGTATCCTAGGATGGGGGCATCCTAGTCCTAGGATGTCATTTGTATCCTAGGATGGGGGCATCCTAGTCCTAGGATGTCATTTGTATCCTAGGATGGGGGCATCCTAGTCCTAGGATGTCATTTGTATCCTAGGATGGGGGCATCCTAGTCCTAGGATGTCATTTGTATCCTAGGATGGGGGCATCCTAGTCCTAGGATGTCATTTGTATCCTAGGATGGGGGCACCCTAGGATACTTTGATAATGCACATAAACGCGCGTCTTCTGGAAACTTGAGTAATTAAATCATTTGAAAAAGCTTCCATGTGCCAGAAGATGTTTTTTTGGAAGTCGAGGTGATTTGTACTCTCTGGGTACGATAAGCGCGCAGTTTCTCACCTATGGCCGTAGAGGGTATCATAAAAAGCAGGAGTCACCGAACTTCTATCGGCACAATTTTCTGGCAAAAGCCTCAAAAAAAAACGAGGAACCCCATCTTATAATATCGGAGTTTTTAAAAAAATTGAAAATTTCAAGAAAATGACAAAGAAAATAAATCCGTTACAGTAAAATTAAGTCGAAATTTGTTTTGTGTTGTGTTTTTAAGTGTTTTTTCTTTTTCTTTAGAAGAAATACGGTATATTGTCCTCTTTGAGCTCGTTTTGTGTTAAATCTTTATCCACATATAATTGCGGTACACGTAAACTAAAAAATAAATAACTGGAAGAATAAGAGAATAATATAAAACACGAAAACTAAAGAATAAGTTGTAAAAATTGCGTAATTAAAGACATTTTTTGAGGTTTAGATGAATGAAAAAGAAAACCCGAGAAGGGAAAGCACCGAGATGGAGGAAATAAAAGACAATATACCGTATTTTCTCTAATAGTAGCGCACCCTGAGCGTTGCCTAAATTCCTCAAAATCTCGAGAACCGCTTATCAGAACCTATCGATGTGAGCTCGGAAAATGTAGCTGACGATGATCTAGTAGAGGATTAGAGTGTTGAGCTTCTGCAAAAGCTTGGAAACCGTAAAATAGTCACCAACTTGGCTCGACTCGGTGCACTACTATTAGAGAAAATACGGTATACAGTATTTGATAATTTAAAGCTTTTTCTTAACATGAACCAGAGTTGAGAAGAGCTTTGAGATTGTCTTGCGCATCAGCGTTCGCCCAGAATTTCTCTTCGTCGTCGTGAGTGCAATAGGCGCCGCTCTCGTGAAAACCTTTCGGACATTGTGAAACTGTAATTGCTATATAAGTTTCATTTTAAAGCTATTCAATTAAATGAGTATTTTTATAAGAACATTGGATACTCAAAGAAATCTCTTGAAGCTTGCCAATTGACGATTGTTTCAGGCAATTTCTAGAGATCAAACGAATCAAGATTCGTCTTGGCTTTGCTTTTGACATTGCCTGACCCGCCTTACAACTTCTATAGCTTAATTTCAAGCCATAGAACTTCAAGCTATCAGTTCTATAGCTTGATTTTCTTGTTCATCATTGTGAAAAACTTTTCTGCACTTACAGCATCTTCCATATAAAAGCATTCCATCTTTGCATTGACATTGAGCCACATTTTTATCGCTTTTTCTTTTCTCACAATACGTGTTCGGGCATCGCGATGAGCATTCTTCATCAGATTCACAGCCATATTCACCCGGCCAAAGTTTGCTAAGAAAAAAAAGAAGAAGATACATATATTGAAAAGAATTCAAAAGCTATATGAAGTACTCACGATTTACACTTTCCCTCAATACATTTCTCGTTGGGGAGACAAGTGTTATCACCATCGATTTCTCCAGTCGTTATACACTTTCTTGGAGCAGCCACATTAAAGAAAACTAAGAGCTTGTATTGATTTGAGTATAATATGCAAATTTGAATGGCTATCAAAGTGTTATGATCTATCTAGACTCACTTGGCTTTGTTGTTTCATTGATCGGAGTCAATGGGGCAAAGATTGGCTTACGGCGAGCCGATGAGAGAAGGAAACGGCAAGGAGAGCCTGAATTCATCGATTTTCTCAATTTTTAGAAACAAAAATCAAATTTTTATAGTATTAGCACGCTAATCCTTGGGCTTAGTTTGATGTTTTATGAATTTCAACTGGGAATCCAAAAGATGATTGAACCAGGATCCGAACCCGCGATCTCTGGCTTACTGATCCAACACTCTACCAATGAGCTATACCGACAGCTACCCGTCGACATCACGAAAGGGTTTTATGTCTTACTTTTAAATTTATACTTGTTACTTTGATCTGTGGCTTACAGGTCTAAAGTACTTTCAGGTAAAGTACTTTCAGTATCAGTGCTATGCTGAAGCTAGTCTGGACTTACAGTAAGACTTGGACTAAACTTAAGCTTACTGTAAGCTTACTGTAACTTACTGTAACTCACTTAAACTTACTGTAACTTTCAGTAACAATAGGTAGGCTTGGCAATGAATTTTCGTAGATAAACAAGCTTAATACTCACCATATTGATCACAACCATTTCTCGCTAAAGTAATCACTGTTGGAGCCATTTGCTGGCAAGTAGCTCCTGAAATTTCGATAGAATTTTTGGTTTCTATTAGATTTCAATGTGATCTTATTGATTCAAACCATTGCTTTGAGCTCCATTCACACAGACACAGACACTCTGCTGACATTGGGAGCATTGTGAAATGAATCCATTGCATTGAGAAGATCCACTGCAAGTTGTACCGGGCACTTGCGCGAATTTTGCAACAGCTAATTTTTCTTTTGATTTAAATCAGTGAATAAATAAACCTGTAGAAGCACAACAGGTTCCCATATTGCAAGAAGCTCCATTAGGACAAGCACTGTTGGCAGAACATTGACAAACTGGATTCATTGCTTGGGGACAGACTGGATCCATTGAGAGCAAGCAGCAACCACCTAGATTTCAAAAATTGAAGTAATTGAAGCCAAGTTTTAAAGAAAAATCTGGAATTAACAGATCTCATTCTATTAGAATTTTTTTTGCAAACTTCTTAAAGTTGAATCGTTTTAATTAGAATTAGAATTGCTTTGCCAACTCTTGTTTGCTTTAGAATGCTTTGCCAACTCTTTCAAAGACGCCTGTTGCTTTGTTGCCTTGTTAACTTTCACATTTGTCAGTTTAAAAACTTTCTTTCAACCTTTTTATAGATATTAAAAGTTTGGTAAAATCTCACCCATAGCGCTGCATCCATATCCGGGCGGGCAATCGGATCCCCGATTGCAACGAGACGCCGCTCGGCCACCATTTGGACATAATGGAAGCGGCTCTTGACAACAGCCACGTCCTGAAAAATTTGATAACTTCTGTTTTGAGATTTAGCTGTTCAGAAAGTCTTTTTGTTTTTTATCACTCTTGAATTTGCTTTGAAAGTGAACCGAAATTGACTTAAAAAGATGGGAAATTGAACAAGAAACACTTTGATTTACAGAAAACCATAGATTAATAAATGCATTTGTTATTTTTCAACGAAAGTATGCAAAGAAAAGAAAAAACTTTCTGAAAAGCCTAACATTTCCTCTATTTTACTCGATTTTCTTCAGTTTCTACCTTCACAAACGTATCCAATTGGGCACAAATTCCCTCCACCACACATTGAGACTGAAATCGCTCCGGAAGAACACATTGGGATCGGGCAACAGACACCGTTCTCGCATTGCTGAAAAGTACAAAGAAAATTGAGATTTTCCTTTGAATTCAAGCCATAGCTGAGCAGCTTTGATAGCTGAGCAGGCTTTGATAGCTGAGCTGAGCTTTGATAGCTGAGCTGAGCTTTGATAGCTGAGCTGAGCTGAGCTTTGATAGCTGAGCAGCTATCAAAATCCAAAGCAACTGTTGACTTACTCGTCCCGGTCCACAAGACATTCCAGTGCATCGCTGACTCGCCACCATTCCATTTGGACACACTGGCAGCGGGCAACATCCACCATTTGAACATTCGAAACCATTGGCGCAACCACCTGCATTTCGTTGATTTATTCAAATATTCCCTCCAACCTCCACATGTTGAGATAGCAAGCCCGCCTGTTGGACATTGTGGAAGTGGACAGCAACCACCGCTATTGCAATATGTGCCACTGCCACAACCTTGTCCATTCGAACATCTAGAATTGAGGCTTTAAAAAGCTCTTGTCCACTACTACCTGCTGGTGGCAAAAACTCCGGCTGAACAAGTGGGCAGAGGACAGCAGCCTCCATTCACACACTCCATTCCCGGTCGACCACAGTCAAGAGCACGAGTGCAAGTGGCAAGAGCGATCACTCCTAATAGATTAAGAGATTTAAAGGTTGTAGCCGATTTGCTATGAAAGAAAATCATAAATATAGATACTATAGGTGAGCTTAAGACATATTTCTTGCCAAATTTTAATCTTTTAATACCTCCTTGGCATCTGGGTAACGGACAACACAATCCCTCCATGCACGCTTGTCCACCGACACACTGGCCATTACCCGAACAACGAGATTGAGCCTGAAAAGGTCTTGATAAAGAGAATCGATTCATTTCATTAGATTATAGATAATCAGTCTTGCTTTAGCTATTTGTTTAAGTGAATTTGTTCAAAAATTGTCACCTGAATCCCACTCGGACAGAATGGACGTAGACAACATCCACCATTTGAGCATTCAGCATTAGCGCCACATTCACCGTCAACCGAGCATCTAAATCGATTTTATTAGTTTAAAAAGCTCTTGCTATAAACAATTCTAAACCTTCTATTCGATTGTTGTCCATTTGAACAAACTGGGAGAGTGATTTGTTCTTGACAACAAGAGCCAGTTTGTTTATAGCAAGAGCCTGATCCACAACCGCCGTTTGAGCAGAATCCAACAGCCACCTAAACCAGTTATCAGTAAAAATTGATCTTGTAGAACTTTGATAAAAGGAAAAGTTCTGAAAATATATTAAGTCACTTGTGAATTAGGGCATTCCATTGGACAGCATGATCCTTGGTAGCAAGAGCTTCCACTTGGGCATGAGAAACCATTTCCGCATTGAGAAGAGGGTTGTGCTCCGTCTAGAAAAGCCAGGGTTTTCGATTTAAAACCAAAAATCTTATCACTTCGACTTACTCGGGCAAAGAATGAGAACTTGATAGAGGAGATCGGTTGACGGTTGTTGAGCAGAAGGGCAACACGCGTTCAGAATTGTATTGCATGAAGATCCCTGCGGGCAAGCACCACAAGCACCAACTGGCGGGGAATAGGAACCGGGGCAGAGTTCTAAATTGTTTCATGTTCTTCTTCCCCTTGTCTTTCCTTCTTTCTCTTGGCAAGTTAAGGTACTGAATAGCTAAATGGTTAAAGCAATTGCCTGGAAATTGAACGGTCAAGCCAAGTTCAATCCCCAGTTAAGGTACCGGCTAGCTTAATGGTTAAAGCAATTGCTTGAGAAGCAAAAGATCGAGGATTCAATCCGACGGAAATCTACTTTATCTTGCTAATTCCTTTGCTTCATATTGATTCTAGAAATTCTGGGAAAAGCAGAACGTCTTTTCTGTTGTTTTCATTGGTTGCCAGGTACTCGTTGTTCATTCTATCTATAGTATTTGTACTAGACTCAGCAATCGTAAAAGCAAATTTCCTTCTTTCTCTTGGCAAGTTAAGGTACTGAATAGCTAAATGGTTAAAGCAATTGCCTGGAAATTGAACGGCCAAGGCCAAGCCAAGTTCAATCCCCTCTCCAAAAATCTAATTTTGTAGCTTTTCGGAGAGTAGATATGAAATCAAGCGAATCCAAGCAAATTCCTTCACTTTATTCAACTCACTGATTTGAATAGTGGCCGGTTTGTTGTTGATGGGCACTGGGCAACAGCCGATTCCTGGTGAACAGGCGGAATCTAGAAAGAGGGAAATTTCAAAGTATTCATTTATAAATTTCTACATTGTGGACATGGCTCGTTGCATTCACCCAATGGAGGCACGTTTGAGCCCGGGCAGAGAGGGACATGAGTCGGATAGTTCTGCGGGCTTTGCAAGACCTGGAGTGCGATGTCCACCGTTTGACAGCAAGCATTCTAAAGCGTTCTTTACGAAATCAAACCCAAGTCTTGTCTTAAGCCACCTGACGACATGAAGAAGTTCCAGGGCAAGGACTTGACGCTTTGGCGCAAGTGCAGACTGGATTTGAACCAGCTCCACAGGTTGATGGCTGAATCATTTGTTTAGATCGGAAAACAAACTTCCACTCTATATCCCTACTTGTTTTAGAGATTCTACCTGGTTTAGACTTAACGGTACACAGACTGAACTCGACGAGTCATAGATGGTTCCACTTGCACAAGGGACTCGTGTCCATTCACCGCAAGAAGCTCTGAATTTAAGCTTTTGTTTTAATTCATTTCTGAAACTCACCCAGCTGTTGTGGGAGCGCATTGCAGAAAATAGGCATTGCTTTGAGTATCAGTTTGAAGATTTGCAGTACGCCAAGAGCAATCGCGACCAATGATTGGGTTTGAGTTAGAGGCTAAAGTTGAGGTTTAGAAGTGAAACAAGAGCTAGAATTTGGGCTAAACAACAACTAGAATCTAAAAAAATCAAATACCTGAACAAGGGCTATAACATCCAGTGCTTGCTGGGTTTTGTTGACACGTTGCTTGTTGTCTCCTCATCGCTGTCTTCTTCTCACATCTCTGTTTCGCCTCGTCGAACTCGTGTTGAGCTGGACAATCGCGAAGATTCCAGACACCCAAGTATTTATCTTTCAAGCTGTAGCCAGTGATCTGAACTTCATCTTCTTATTCTTATTCTTATTTCTTATCATTACTTCTTCTTGGCTGAGTGGAGCACATTCCAAGTATCGGCTTGAGTTCTCAGCCGCTCGCAGTAACTCCACAGTCATACAAACTCGACCATCAAGGCTATTTTTGTTGGCTAAAAGAGTTGGATTTGTTTAATGTTTCAGTTTAAATGTAATTGGATGCAAATCTATAAAAGTCTAAAGCTTGCAAAGCTAACACAAACAGCTTTGTGAAGTTATTTTAAAGGCTGAATGCACCATTTCCCCAGCAAATTTTTATCAAACCATTTGACCCATTCCCAATCGTCACAAAACCCGTTTCCCCTGGCAGTTTAGCCTTATAAGCTCTGTTGATCTGTTTGCGTTGAGGTGAGTGCCCCGAAACGTGTTTCCCTCTTCATTGTTTGCTCAAATCGTTCACAAACAGAAAAACGCAAAAAATCCATAATTCGGAGATCTTCCTTGAAGCTAGGAAATGAATTCTAACGTATAATTGTTATGCCAAAAGTTTTTTTTTTCGCGGAAGTCAATCTTTTCTATTGAATTGGAGAGATAGGGAAAGAGACGCGTCACACAAAGCACTCCACAAACAGAAAGACACAATAATAGAGACAGATACCAACCCCGACGATTGCCAATCGCCATCTCTTTTTTTTCTGGTGACACTTTAGATTTTGAGAAATCAAAAGATCAGAAATTATGTTCGAAAAGGAGTTGTTTAACTTCTGAGAAGCTGGACAAGTGAAATTTATGATCAATTTGCCTTTTAAATGGCTTCTTCTCCAATAGGAGTTGTTTAAAAGGAGTTGCTTAACCTCTGGGAAACTGAACAACTGAAATTTATGATCAATTTACCTTTTGAATGGCTTCTTACAATAGGAGTTGCTTAAAAGGAGTTGTTTAACTTCTAAGAAACTGAACAATTGAAATTTATGATCAATTTGCCTTCTAAAGGGCTTCTTCTGCAATAGGAGTTGCTTAACTTCTAAGAAACTGAACAAGTGAAATCTATAATCAATTTGCCTTCTAAATGGCTTCTTCTTACAATAGTCTAATTTTATTTTGAAAATTTATTAGAATTTAGCTTTTTTATTGACAAGCCAACAAGTTAACTGTTTTTTAGACAACAGGAAGTTACAAATTCAAAAACTAAAGCTCTAAAGTGTTTGGCTTCATTTTAAAATTTTAGAATTATTGAAAAGGAAAAAAGATCTTAAGAATTTACAGATTCGGAACATTTCTATAGTCAATGAAAAAGATGATTGAAAAGAAGAAAATGGAATTGTGATAGCTTCCTCAATCAAAAGCACAAGAAAGCTTCCTCAAAAATTTACCTGCACTTGCTATCGCCACAAAGGTAACTCCAAAAATTATTAGTAAATTAATCATCGAGGAATTGTTGTAAAGCAGATCTCGAGAAATCAGTTGTGTCTTTTCGTCTTTTCTGAACGAAACACGGCATTCTCTCGACTCTTATAGGGGACAAGGGGGCCAAGACTGGTCTCAGCATACAAAAGAGAAATAGAGAAGAAGAAAGAAGGGGATTCTTGATGGATAGAGGTGTGAGTTGAGATGAGATTTGATGTGATGATGTTAGCTGATTGTTGATGACCGACAATCATGTCGATGACATCGGTCAGTTGGCCGTTTGCCTTCAATGGCTGGCTTTGAGCAGTTGAATTGGGGGAAAGCATTTCTCCGAGTTCTGCTCGTTTACGAGGCTAAATTTTATGCATAAAACGCGCAAAACTTGGTCAAACTAAGAACTATTTGATATAGTGATAGTTTGATCAGTCATTTAGTTAACAATTGTCAAACCTTTGGGTTTAGGTTTAGGTTTAGATACTTTTGCAAACGTCCAAACTCATTACTGCCAAGTGAGGCCAAATTCTCGGTACTTTTGTTTAACTTTTACTGTAGCTTTCCTAGCTTTAAAACACACTCAAAGATATTGTTTTACTGTAGCCTACTTTAATCACCAACTACGTAAAATGTTGACTTTTCCTACGTCACTTAATTATTTACCAATGGCATATAGTCAATAAATCAATGTACAAGTTAGTAAACTCATCGTTTACTTTGTGACTTTTCATAGAGAAAAAAGGAGAAAGTGAATTGGTTGATTCAGCGTGAGTCATTGTTGGATCTTCTCCTCTCATTCTCTTTGGATTTTCCAGTTTTCTATTCTCTTCTCTTCAAAATTCCGACAATGACGTGACCCCGATCGACCTTTGAAAAATATTTAGACAAATAAATTGTAAATCATCTAAGAAGAGAACTAACAATGTCTAAACATTGACTTTCACCCGAGGCTGACTATTATCGTTGTTCAAAAACCCGGATATTTTTGCAATATTTTGTATCACTCTCACATTCAATTAACACATCAAAAACTAAGAAAAGAATTTCCGATGGAAATCTTTTAATTAACAGTAACAAAATTATGCTCAATTTGTAGGCATCTAATTAATGTGAACATGTGAAAATATTTTTTTTTGCATTCAAGAATCAGCTCCACTTATGTCAAATATAACTACAGCAGGCTAATTGCTAGTTTTAATGTAAGTATTCAAAATTTCAATTTTCCCTTTGAAAATCTTGTAAAAAAAGCCGCATTTGTTATCTAATTTTGTTTAAACTAATAAATTTGATAATTTTTATTTTACAAAGTCTGAGTATCGTTCGTGCTGTTTGAGGGGCAACGGCAAGCGTTTGCATTCTCTTCTTTTGGCCTCAAGTCGAGAAGGAAAGCGAGACAAGTCATCATGGCAGAAACCGTCTGAAAGTACAATACAAAATGCGATTCAAAGTCAACTGTTAGTTTTAGTAAAATCAAACTCCAGCTAAGCTTTTATAAAAGAGTTGCTGGATCTATTGGTCGTCTGGGCCCTTTTCCGTCGTTGCCAATCTACGAATTTTGCTCGTACCTTGACCGGGTTTGTTTGAAAAACGGAATGGAATTTGCTTTCATTCGATAGAAAATTTAATTTCGAGTCGAACGAAAGCAAATGCAACGTTTTACAAACAAACTCGGCTAAGATCCGAGCAAAATAGATTGTCAACGGACTGAAAAAGCGACGGAGTTAACATGCCTGTCTACACAATTGCTATACTTACCGTCAAAATGAGCGGCTTTGTGACAAGAGTGAATCCCCAAAGGGAAACGCCAAGATCCGGTTGATCGAGATGAATGGCCAGAGTTTGAGCAATCTAGGAATCTGCATTGAGACGATGAAAAGTCAGCTTTACTTTGTTCACATTTTCCTCGTACGGTATCCAAACATTGTGGCACATACAGAGGAGGGACTTCGATTTACTGAACTAAAAAAATGTGCTAAGCATTTGAGAACAGCAGGGTTTACCTCCTCTGATAGCCTCGATGGATACATGATTGCGTAGAGTTCAAACGTACAAAAGCCAACTGTTGGTAAGCTAAAACATAAAAAGTAAATCGTTTTTAGTCGAACTTTTACCTGACCATCAACTCCATTAACGATGACCTCGTGAGCACAAGGGTTAAGACGAAAATGGTCAGTGGAATGACACAAGCTGTGACCATAAATGCGTACACCTAATCTTTAACTAGGCTGTGTACCTCTCAAGCAAGTAATTACTTGAGCAAGCCACTCGGCCAGCGGTTAGGTTCTTTCCCTTTCGAAAGTGATTACTCGGAAGGACCACACCCTAATCGTAACTGTAAAAATTAATATTGTTACCTTGTACAAGTCGTCCATCAACCGGATACTGCACGTGATCTTTGTGTGTTGATAAATTAGATTCTGTAGCTCATCTTTTAGCGACTGCCTTGAGACTTCTTTAAGCTAAAAAATTAAAATAAAGATGAAGGAAAATAAAAATGAAGTTTATAAGTTATCTACAAATCAAATCAAGATTTGATTTTGTGTTATGGCTGACTGAATTACTGACTCAAATATTTACTTTCAATTTATGTATCCTAAAAATGGTTTGTTAATTTTTGCTTGCAACAAACCAGCAAGTAATTATGCTTTGTTGTAAACCCGGTGCCAATTAAAAGGATTTTGGTTTACCGATTTAGAAATTAATAGCTTTTAGTTACCTGCACAATTTTGTAGTTGAACTTTTTCAGCTCACAATGTATCGCATTCGTTAGACATAAATAGGTTTCAAGGTCTAAATTTGCGAGTTTCATACGGTTATCGGCGAAACGCACACTATTTGTAACTATCGACAGGTGGAGAACGAAAAAGAACGGCCGAACGTAGCAAAGCTCGGAGCAGTAGAAGACCTGAAAGCTCAGTGGTAAGAGCAGACAAATGAAAGCATTACGGTGATAAACGATGGATGAACGAGTTTCTTCAGGAGCCCACTCCAAATCGCAAAGATGAAGACCAAAGCTGAGAGTAGGGCGTATACCTAAATGAGTTCAATTTTTTTCTAAAAATATTGATATTAGAAAAACTTGCGTAACCCTTCAATTTTGGGCTTCAAGCTTTTCGATCTTCATTTTTAGAGTCGTTTTTTTAAACAATTAAGAAAGAAATCAATTGAAAAATAACGCTGATTCGACTTGTACGCAAAATATCTGACTGGTTTTGGCTTCCGAATTTTTTTCCTCACCTGAAATCCCCAAAACTGTCGCCTATTTCCCGAAAACACGCGATTCTCATACTGAAAGTTTGAACTTATTTTAATGAAAAAGCTTTAAGCTAACCTTTTCAAAACTTTCGATGTCTGGAATTCGTGAATGTCGCCAAGTGTGAAAGAATGCTTGAAAGTGTAAATTCTTCTGCCAGTGAAGAGAGAAAAGCTGAAAAGGGAAAAACTCTAGGTAACCGCATTTGTATAAGTTTTCTTTCAATGGGAACGATTTTTTTAAAAGAATTTAGTGAAACTCTTGGTTTAAACGAGTTTTTAAAGGTTATGGCCAAAGAAGTTTGTCTAAAAGTTTGTCTCTTGGTCAAAAAGCAGACAATAAAGTTTATATTCGAGTTAGACAATAAAAGATACTTTATTCAACATGAATAAGTGGATACAACACAACGGAGGACACAATTTTTACCCCTACAATGTAGTTAAGAAAAAACCCAACTTAATGGGAAAAAGAACACACTTGATTTTGCCAGCGAGATCGAAACCTCGACCTTCCGATTAGGAGACAAGACTCCTAACCAGTCGGCCAACTGGCCATTTGCCTGGCCACTGGCCATAAGTTAAAACTTTAGTAACTTTTGTTTTTCTCATTTCCGACTTTTAATGATTGGCCAAAATTAAGGAAAGTCAGCCAATTTAAACCGGAACCGAAAATTTGATGTTTGAAAAATCGAACAAGACTGAAAAAAGAATTAGTAGGTATAAAATGTTTACCGTAGAAATCGATCCCTGAAAAGTGATGGCGGCAACAACAAGAGTGCTTGGAGCGAAATTCGAGTGGAAATCGGTGGCCAGAAAATAGAAGTCATGAACAACCGTGTAAAAACCTGAAAGCAGAAAATTTAAGAAAGAAATTTTAAAACTGACTTATAAATAGAAGGAACGTCAACCATGAATATTGAAAAGTTCGAGTGATTTGAGTTGAGCTCGCTTCGAAGAGAAGACCCATCCATTTGAGCACCTAAAAATTAAGATTTAATCTATGAAAATTTATTTATTTTACTTCTAATTCAAATTTTAAAAGATAAGATTTAAGCCCACTTGTTGAAACTCGTAGAATTGCTTTTCAGCCGGAATCCCCGACACTCGGTCCAACAAATAGCAGCCGTCCTCGGCGAACAGATTAGCGTTTTTAGACGTTTCTTTAACTTTTGTTGAGCTCTTTTTGAACATCGGATCTCCGAAAATCTCCGGGAAGACATCGAGTGAGCGATTTGCCTAAAATAGCAAACAGAATATCGTTATCGGTATCGCAAATTTGTCTCTTTTGATTTAACACTAAGCTAACAACAACATAACAACAACATAACAACAACAAACAACAAAAACTACTACTACTACTACTACTACTAATCATTGCTTAATTGTTCAGGTCAAAAATTAACAAGAAAATCTTATTTTTAGCATAGCACACTGATAATACAGGTTAGGTTTTATACAGATAACGTGGCCTATGCCGTAATGGCAACCAATTTTCTTCTATTAAGTGTCTATTTCTTCTATAATTTTCTATATTCAAATGTAGCATGGATCAAGTTCTGATATACAATGTTTTAGATTAATTATTTGTTAATTTTTCATAGAAGAAAGTAGCCAAAAAAGGTGCATTTTGAAAAGACCACATTATCGGTAGAGAGCCATAATACATTTAAATAAAAATAAAGATTTCTACCTCGGAGTAGGAGGATCTTCTCACTTGGGTGTCCATTCTTTTGAGCGTTGTTTGAGCAGAAATCCACGTTCACCCTCAGATCCTCTTCTCATCAAATTCTCGGGAAAGACGAGAGAAAAGAAAATCGCGCAGAGATATCGGCTCTCATCCAGTCGACTCGGTTTCGTTCTTCATTGACTGAAACAGAAAAAACATATTCCCTTTTCAGTAAATGGAAATGAAAGAATCGTTTTTTATTCAAATGTTTCCCCTCTTGTTTTTCGGCTTGCAGCGAAATCTTTTATGCGAAACGCGAACGATGGAGAGGGGAAATGAGGATAAAAGGAATGTAAATTTGGAAAATGGGAATATCTATTTGAGTGAGTTGGGGTCTTTGGGAACTTCTGGAACAAATGCAGCGTTCTGCGGCTGCTTTTGGATGTCCTAAGAACACTAAATGTTTGAAGCTAATGACCAAACTTCCGGTCGGGCTCGTCGGAACTTTTTTTGCAACAACCTTAAGCTTTACTAAAATAGGATTAGACTTAGGATGGGTTCGATGGTTATTGAAAGCAAGAGTCTGTTGGATTATTTATCTACACAGATATAGATTGAATAAAAAATTTTGCGCAAGAATTTGATTGATCTCGAGAATTGATCACAAAAACTTTTGAAAGTTATTTTTTATTGATTTACAAAAGTAATGCCCCATTGCCATCCAACAGTATGTTTTGTAAGGAAATCTTGCAAAATCGACATTTCAGAAAAAGAGTAGGGTATTTTTATCTACCTATAAGACTCGACTTTTCAAGAATATAAGATTTATCTGTATACATTACATACAAATTAAAGTACAAAACAAAAACAATAAGCTACTTGAAAATTAGCTCCACAAAAGTTATTTTTTATTGATTTAAATAGATTTTGGGGGAAAAAGTGAAACGGGTACTTGTGGAGTATCCGGGGGGGTCTTTCAATATCCGGGGGGGTAAAATTTTAAGATCCGGGGGGTAAAATTTTATATACGTTATACACGACCCCTTTTAAAGATATTCAGCCGCTTAAGTGATTTGGTGGCAATTTCCCTTCAAATGTAAAGATATTCAATTTATTGAGGTGATTACTTGATTACGTGATTCGAGGTGATACTCGATCAAAAACGTAACTTCTACAAAATTTTTTTTATGTCATTATTAGAAATGTTGATAATATCCTAGTTGGCGGCAAACATTTTCACACTAAATTGATGAAATTCTATTTAAAACGCTAAAATTAACGTAAAATGATATAAGTTTAAAGGTTTAAGTTTAAGGGTTTAACAAAAGGTTAAACATTTGCCTCAAGAATTTCATTTTTAGTTACAAAGCCTATGGTAAATGTAAAATTTCACGGAATTTGCGTTAATCTATTGATCTTTAGACCATTAATCAGATCATGAGCAATATTTTCGTTCTTCTTTTAAACTCTGAAAGCGATAGGTGCAAAAGATTGATAAAAGTAGCAGAATGGCCAAAAAGTAAAAAAAAAAGTATAAAAAAGTTAAAATTTTACCCCACCGGATCTTAAAATTTTACCCCACCGGATCTTAAAATTTTGCCCCCCCGGATCTTAAAATCTTACCCCCCCGGATATTGAAAGACCCCCCCGGATACTCCACAAGTACCGTGAAACGATTCAGTCAAAAACCATGCGCTTTCAAAAATTGGCATAAACAAACAAGTGAATGCGTAGTATTCCCCTTTTTTTTTCACTTCCAATGGACCTGGGTTCTCAAATTTCTCTATTTGCATGGAGTGTTAAAAATGAGATCATTTAAAAAAGGAAGTACTTGTGAAAAGCGGGGGTGGGTGAACAACAAGTTTGCTTGCCATTTGCCACAAAGTAAATTCTAGAACTCTGCTTACCATTTGCCTACCATTTGCCACAAAGTAAATTCTAGAACTCTGCTTACCATTTGCCTACCATTTGCCACAAAGTAAATTCTAGAACTCAACGTAAATTCTAGCTTTTTGGTTTTCAATTTGTACAATATGTATGTAAATTTACAAAAAAAAAGATTCAAAAAAGCTTTCTTCAATAAATCTATCAAAATTAAGTTAAAATGATCGAGATTTAGTTGAAAAAAAAACAAAATTTCTCAAAATTTAGTTAACGAACGCAAGATTTGGTTGAATAAAACTAAATTTAAACTTTCTCTTTTATTTTATTTCTTGTTTTGATACAGAATTATATTTTAAAGCTTATTTGTTTCAAAAATAACTAACACACAAAAAGTTTCAAATAAACAAAGTTAAAATTATGCAATTTGGGGGGTGGGACAAGTGCGACCTTTTTTAGCGCACCTGGACATTTGCGCACCTTTTTTTTTGCTGGAAAAGGCCTTAGGAAAGGTCGTAGAGCTTCAAAAAATGTTTTCATGGAGGGGAATCGTATGCGTAGATTCCGAATTTCGACAAATCAGACCTCGCTGACACGTCAAATTTGGGCTAAAAGGCAAAAACTACGCAACTTAACGCTTTTCCGCAATTTTTGCCTTTTAGCCCAAATTTGACGTGTCAGCGAGGTTTGATTTGTCGAAATTCGGAATCTACGCATACGATTCCCGATATGGAAATATTTTCGAAGCTCTACGGCCTTGCCTAAGGCCTTTTCCAGCAAAAAAAAGGTGCGCAAATGTCTCACCCCCATAAATCTATCAAAATTGAGTTAAAATGATCGAGATTTAGTTGAAAAAAAACAAAATTTATTAAAATTGAGTTAACGAAAGCAAGATTTGGTTCAATAAAACCAAATTTAAACTTTCTCTTTTGATTTATTTCTTGTTTTGATACAGAATTATATTTTAAAGCTTATTTGTTTCAAAAATAATTAACACACAAAAAAGTTTCAAATAAACAAAGTTAAAATTATGCAATTTGTTAAAATTAAAACTTATAAAACACGAAAATTTAGCAACAAATTAAAAAACAAAAAGTTCGCAGCGAGCAGGATTCGAACCTACGCGGGCAGAGCCCAATTGATTTCTAGTCAATCGCCTTAACCACTCGGCCATCGCTGCTGTCGTTTGAGAGAAGAATTATCTTATTTGACTCGAGTTGACAGGTGTCATCTTCGAATTCGAATTGGAATTTTTATCAGTTTTTTCAACTTTTTTTATTTTTTTATTGATAAAAAGTTGTCTTTGAACGCATTTTTTTATTAATAACATTAACAAAATTTCCTTTAAGTATCTGACTATTTTGATGTTATTTTGTAGATACCTTTAAGCCTTTAAGCTTTTTATTAATGGCATTAACAAAATTTCCTATAAGAATCTGACTGTTTTAATGTTATTTTGTAGATACCTTTAAGCCCCGAATAAATCTCTCAAATCGTTCATAGTCCTAAAATTTTTATAAAAACTCAAAATCGCTGAGTAATTTGGACTCTGATTTTTCGAAAATTTAAGTAAATTGTTTCGAAAAAATTCGATCGATTTGCCAATCAGGTCTGGCACAAAACCAGCTTTGCACTGAATGCAATAAACGATTGGAAGCTGCAATGCGAGCAAGGAGTGATGCTCTACTGCAGCTGTGGGTTCACGAACAAATCTTCTGTCAACTTTAAAATTTATGAGCATTTCCTTTGAACATTTGAAAGCTGAATGAAAGTCTGATCTTTCAAAGGCTGTCAATTCGGTCCCCGAGGCTACGGAGAAGGACAAAGCATACTAGTGTTTTCTTTCAAATTTTGAAGATATTGTGTTATTTGAGCCGGAGTGGGAGCCAGAATTCTGCAACTGCATCAATAGAAATGGGAAATAAGAAGAGAGCGGTGTTCCCTTAAACAATCGATTCGAGACATCGAAGGCGATCCCCAAAAAGCATATTAGTGTTTCCTTTCAAAATTTGAAGGTATTGAGCAATTTTTTTGTGGGTTTCGTTATTCATTTGATCAGATTTTTCAAATTCAATCTCTGTTTTGTGCTTTCAAATTAAAATTGATCCTCCTTACGGTCCAGTAATAGTGAATTGCCTTGAAACTACCCAAAAACCAGCCAATACCAGATCAATGAAGCGATCGCTTTCTTGAATACCAAAAGATTGGATGTTTTTTGTCATTTACATCTCCCTCTCCGTTCTCCGTTTTATTGTTAACGATCTGAAAGTTTATTTCGAAGCTTTTACCCAAGCTACTTTACAAAAAGTGACAACCTATATCTTTTTCATTCATCGAATTCATTATACAGCTGATAGAAGATCGCCAAAGAAGAGGACTATGACAAATTCCACAAAAGTATCTCAGAAATCAAGGGAATCGAGAAAATCGACTCGTCAATCCAAATCTGTTTCCATTTCGTTGATTTTCTCAAAAAGTAGGACCAAAATTTGCTACCAACCGAGCATTCGAGAAAGGGTTCTTCATTCTTTCTCCCAGCATTTGCTTTGAACATTTGAAAGCTGAATGAAAGTCTGATCTTTCAAAGGCTGTCAATTCGGCCCCCGAGGCTACGGAGATGGACAATATTAGTGTTTTCTTTCAAATTTTGAAGATATTGAGTTATTTGAGCCGGAGTGAGAGCCAGAATTCATTAGTGCTTTCTTCCAATCATTACTTCATTTTTATTCTTTAAAGAATTTCATGATCTTGATTTTCTATTTCATTTCTTTAAAATCACTTGTGTGATGAAAACGTTTAAGGCTTTCTTTTACTGTTACTTGATCAATAAAGGCTTTAATTTCAAAAATATTACAGATTACAGCTGTCATCAATAGCAAACGATGTGGGACATTTATTCTACAATGTACAGGCAAGATATTTTTTTGAACTTGAGAGTTTGAATTCTTCATCATTTACATACAGACGTATTTCTTCGATGTTAACGAAAGATTTCGTTTGTATGAACCACAACATGAAGGCATAGGAAAGACACAAGTTGAATACATGTTTGTGCCAGTTGTTGCATCACACGGTGTTGCGCTTGTATCGTTCGAGTTTCCACTGAAATTTTGAAATCCTATTGACAAGTTGAAGTTCGATCAGAAAAATCTACTATATATAAAGCAGAAGAGACGTCTGTCCGTCTGTCTGTCCGTCTGTCTGTCCGTCTGTCTGTCCGTCTGTCTGTCCGTCTGTCCGTCTGTCTGTCCGTCTGTCTGTCCGTCTGTCCGTCTGTCTGTCCGTCTGTCTGTCCGTCTGTCCGTCTGTGCGGAGCCATTAGCAAAAAGGGGCAGGGCTTAGATTACGCGGAAAACGTGGACCTCCCCAGTGAAAAACGCGAACGTTAGTGAGCGCTGGTATTTGATTTTCCGCTGGTATTTGATATTTGAGTAAATCTAAGGCTTATTTAGTGTCCAAATCCGTACAGAACATCTCAAAAGCTATTTTGTTTGTAATTTGTCATGAAAAGTTCAACAAAAGCCTTCTTGCTAAAAATTCTAACCCAATAAAACCTACGCGCAAGTGCCAGGACATCCGTTCGCAGCTGCACAGACACGGGATCTCGTTTGCCGTCCACACGCTCCACACGCGGCTGTGCACTCACTCCATGCACCCCAAGGACTCCAGCTCACAACAGTGCTCCCACAACAGGGTGTCCATTGAATGTAACTGCTCACTGGTCTAGAAAACATTGGCTAGAATCTGGATTTGAAGTTTTTAAAACCAAAAATAGATGTTGAGCGAAAACTCACCCACAACCGCCGCCAGTTGTGCTCTCCTTGCAAAGCCGAATGCTCATTGCACCAAAAGCTGGAGCTGGGGTGCAAGTCTAAAAGCGGTGAAGCTAAAAAACAACAAAAAGCCCAGTCCTAATCTATGATAAGTCAATTATTGGGCTGTAAACTTTAACCAACTCTCACTTACCGAGCAAGCGGCATTCGCGGTGAGCCAAGCAGTGAATTGAGCTTGAGCTTGCTGACAGACCAACGCGATTATTATCGTGGCCGCCAAGTGGCCTAGTCGTCCCATGATGGTTCCAAATGACTCTCAAATCAATCCATCTTTCCAACCTCCTCGTTTATAAATTGAACGACATCTGACTAATTTTTTTGAACACATATGTTCAAACAGGAAATCTTCAAACTTTTACATGGATGGAAATAAGCAAACACGGGGTGTGGCATAAACATGGGATGACCAAAACTATCAAAACTTCAATGAGATCAATTACTTTTTCTCGAGTCAAATGCCTAAAATAAATTATGAATTTAATTTACAGAGTTTCAACTTTTTGCCGTGTTCGGATGAAGATGGAATCAAATAAAGAAGTCAACAATATCCTTGAATATATTCTTATGATTACAAGAATCAGTGATTAAAATGTTAGCACTTTTAGGCTCGGCAGTTTAACCAATTTCTTTAACCTGTTGGTTTTGAGCTTTCACGAGCTTCTTCTTCTTTAACCTGTTGGTGTTGAGCTTTCACCAGCTTCTTCTTCTTTAACCTGTTAGTTTTGAGCTTTCACGAGCTTCTTCTTCTTCTTTAACCTTCTTTAACCAACTTCAAGACTTCTTTAGAAACGTGTTCAAAACTTTCAAGACTTTTAGCGAACTTCAAAAACAAAGCCATTACCTCAAACTCTTCCAACACTTTCTCATGGGATGAACATAAACATGGAATGACCAAAACTATCAAAAATTCAATGAGATCAATTACTTTTTCTCGAATCAAATGCCTAAAATAAATCATGAATTTAATTTACAGAGTTTCAACTTTTTGCTATGTTCGGATGTGCTGCCGCCGGGGTGTGCCGTGTCTCTACTCTCCCAATCTCAAACCACTGAACCAACTATTATCGCTGTAATAAAGATTATATCTAAACCAACAATAATCACTACAAAGATGGAATCAAAAATTACAAAAAATGCAAAAATTGCATGGACAGAAGGGGGAAAGTTTTTGAGATTAGATTCTAAAATTTGACATCATTATGGTTATTTTTAAGTGGAATAGAATAAATTTGTTTGGATGAAAATCTTCATTTCATTGATCTTTCTAGAAATCTGAAATTAGACTTAGCAGCAATGCCAATGACTAGTTGATTGTAGCTTTATGGCACCAAAGTTCAGAAACATCTTACTTTTATGATCTTTCTGCGCACTGTATTGCTGTCTTATAAAGATTATCATGTTTTAGCATGATAATTTAAACATTTTCTGAAATTCTCTAATCAAAGCAGTCCACTCATTTGAGACATGTGCTTTCAAACGCTGACGGAAATGAAAATGGCAATTAGCGGCCAGTTGAAAGAGATTGGTGAGAGAAAAAAGAAGAAAAAAAGATTGAGAGAAAGATGTATAGTGAGGTGAGACATAGAACCCCTAAGGACCCAGGTCTATTCCTTTCCTTTTTCCGACTTTTTGTCGACTCTTCTGTAGTACATGGCAACCACCAAAGAGAATCGGTCCAATGGGTCCTTCGAGCCTTCTTTGAGTCTTTTTGAGATCTTATTTCTATTTTGTAGCTTTAAAATAAATTAGATGGCTGTTTTCTATTACTAGATACTTTAACCGTACTTTAACCGTACTTTAACGTACTTTAACGTACTTTAACCGTACTTTAACGTACGTAGTACATGGCAACCACCAAAAAGAATCGGTCCAATGGGGTCTTCGAGCCTTCTTTGAGTCTTTTTGAGATCTTATTTATATTTTGTAACTTTAAAATGGATTAGATGGCTGTTTTCTATTACTAGATACTTTAATCGTACTTTAACCGTACTTTAACGTACTTTAACCGTACTTTAACGTACTTTAACGTACTTTAACTTACTTTAACGTACTTTAACGGACTTTAACGGACTTTAACCATACTTTAACGTACTTTAGCCGTACTTTAACATACTTTAACGTACTTTAGCCGTACTTTAACTTACTTTAACGTACTTTAGCCGTACTTTAACTTACTTTAAAACGAAATGGTTACTCAAGTCCCTTTTGCTTCAAATTGAAGATCAAGGCGATTCAATGGTAAAGATGATTCAATTTTGACTATAAGGGGTTCACTAATTGTAACTACAAAGTGTAGTACAGAGAAATCCCCTTCTCTTCTCTTTTTTGATCCCCGTTCGACTGGTGACTTACCCGTTATTTCCACTTGAACGCTTTCTATCTTTTAAGAAATGACGTCAATGGGGATAGTACAGTTCGGCCTTGTTATTCCACGTATTTGATCTTTAAAATTTCTGAAGCAGAATGATTATTGATTTTAAAACTAAAACGATTCAATTTTGCGATTATTCTTATAGAAAGCTTTCTAAAAGTAAAATAGTCAGCTCAAAGAACTCGACCAAGAAGTCAACCCAATGTTTCTTGATTTTTATGAAATTGAACAATCTAATCAAGCTCAACTTTATATCATTTTAAAGCCTAAAGTGTCCTTTATAAACCTATGAAAATAAAATAGTTTTAAATCTTATCTGGGCGCAAGTTTTAGAGCAAAAGAAGATTGTGTAAAAGGCCGCCAGGTGCTCTTTGTGCCGACGTGTAATCGCTCGCCGTCTGGTCAACGGCTTCCCCTTATACCGACGGAAAGTCGTACCGTTATGCTATTGTGTCCCTTTGGGTCAGTCCAGTTGTAAGCCTCGTATGGGGTAGCACAAGACCAAAAAGCGGATTTGTAATCGGGCAATGTTGGTTTTAACAGGTGAGGTCTCATTTGGTTCAACTGAATCAATGAATCAAGGCTAGATTCATTTCAATTAGCAAAGCCTCAAGGGTACATTGTTCCTAAAAAACAGTTTTGATTTGACTAAACTTTGGCTTTGAATGTAACAAACATTATATCGCCTCATCAACTTTCAATCACGCTTTTCATTTGTTTATTTGAGACTTTATTCACATTTTTTGTACAGATTGCTTCAATTCAATTTCATTGAATTTCAGCTCAAACAACTTCATTAGCTTTAAAGCCAGAAACTTTTAAAATTCAAATCTTGTCTACTCCTCAATAGTTCATTTCAATGTTCCAAGAATTTTTTTGTTTCGATGTAATCAAGCAGAAAACTTAAACAATTCGTGATCATTTGGTTGAATTGAGTTTCTTCTTCCTTGTACAGCTATTCTATCAATTGTAGACTTTGAAATTAAACTAAAAAACTAAAAAAATAAAACCAAGCATTACCTAAGACTTTTCTCAATTGCTTTTGCTCGATTTGAAAGCTCTTTTTTCAACTCTAGGACTCAAGTCGTTTAAATTCTCAGCAAATAACCAAAATTTTCAATTTCATAAAACAAAAATGTTTTTTTTTTTTTTTTTTTTTTTTTTTTTTTTTTTTTTTTTTTTTTTTTTTTTTTTTTTTTTTTTTTTTTTTTTTTTTTTTTTTTTTTTTTTTTTTTTTTTTTTTTTTTTTTTTTTTTTTTTTTTTTTTTTTTTTTTTTTTTTTTTTTTTTTTTTTTTTTTTTTTTTTTTTTTTTTTTTTTTTTTTTTTTTTTTTTTTTTTTTTTTTTTTTTTTTTTTTTTTTTTTTTTTTTTTTTTTTTTTTTTTTTTTTTTTTTTTTTTTTTTTTTTTTTTTTTTTTTTTTTTTTTTTTTTTTTTTTTTTTTTTTTTTTTTTTTTTTTTTTTTTTTTTTTTTTTTTTTTTTTTTTTTTTTTTTTTTTTTTTTTTTTTTTTTTTTTTTTTATAAGTTTAGATATTAGAAAAGTGTTAAAAACTGGATTCTTGCTAAATTTTATTAAGTTGAAGTGCAAAGAATGGGTATACACAAAGGCTGTTCTTTTGAAGAGCTTTTCTTTTCTCTATTCTCTTTCTCCATTCCTCCCTTTTCATTCACTTTTCTTCAGTTTACTTTGCACAAAGTTTTCAGAATATTTTACTTGAAATCTGGATTTAAATTTGAATTTAAATTTGGATTTAAAATTTTTGCGCTTTCATCGGTTCATTAGTGAGGATTCAATTTTGTTCGTTTGATCCGACAAAAAGTGATTTTTGTTCTTTATTTCGTGACTCGATTTTGCACGTATGAGCCAAGATTTTAATGGATCATTCATTTCTTTCACAAGCTTATAAAGGAACAAGAATTTCTAACCTTCAAACAGAAATGCAAAATCGAATACATTTCTTTCTCAAGTTCTAAGCTTAAAGACTTTAAAAGCACTTAAAAAATAGCTTTTAAAAAGCTCTTAACTGTCAGAGTAAGTTCTTGCATTGTATAAACATAAATTATTAGTCCAGAAAGTCTTTTCTTTTTAGATTTTTGTTGAAAAATAAAAGATTCATCAATTCATCTATAGTTTTCTCTAAATAAAAAGTGTTTATTATTGGATTTCTCATCTTTTTAAGTCAAATAAGACATTTCTAAACGTGTTTTAATCATATTTTTGCAGAAAACAAAATAAAAAAACAAATGAAACAAATGAAATTAAACAAATCGTTATTTAATTGATGAATTTGTTGATTTTAAACGCAAGTAAAAGAGAAAAAGACTTTCTGAAAAGGAAAATTTCATAGGCAAAATAGGCATAGGCAAAATTCGGGAGAAATCCTACCGGAACTGGTCACTTCAACCCATTTCCAGAGCCTTTTCCATATCCAGTTATCGAAAGAGAGACAGAAAGAGAGCTCTATGACGATCTCCGCGAATGACATCCATTCACTTTGACATAAATATCTATTACTCACTTTCATTTGCTTACCATGCACATGGGTTTATGATTTACTTGTTTTAAAGATTTGTTTACATTTTAGTATAGCATACTACTCTAGCCTTTGTCCTTCTTGTCCTTCTCGTCCTTCTCGTCCTTCTTGTCCTTCTTATCCTTCTCTTCCCATTCCACTTCCATTTAACTCAATTTTTCACATCCTCGAGTCACTCCTTTAGACACTTTTGACTTCCGGAAGTCAACAATATCCTTGAATATATTCTTATGATTCAAGAATCAGTGATTAAAATGCTAGAATGAACTTTTAAGCTCAGTAGTTTAGCCAACTTCTTTAACCTGTTGGTTTTGAGCTTTCACAAGCTTCTTCT